TCACTCGCTCACCCACTCGCTCACCCACTCGCTCGCTCACCCACTCGCTCACCCACTCGCTCACCCACTCAGCCACTCGCTCAGCCACTCACCCACTCAGCCACTCAGCCACTCACCCACTCGCTCACCCACTCGCTCACTCACTCGCTCGCTCACCCACTCGCTCACCCACTTGCTCACCCGCTCAGCCACTCGCTCACTCACCCACTCGCTCACCCACTCGCTCACCCACTCAGCCACTCAGCCGCTCGCTCACCTACTCACTCACCCACCCAGCCACTCACCCACTCACTCACTCACCCACTCGCTCAATCACTCACCCACTCGCTCACCTGCTCAGCCACTCGCTCACTCACCCACTCGCTCACCCACTCGCTCGCTCACTCGCTCCCCCTACTCGCTCGCTCACCCACTCAGCCACTCACTCAGCCACTCACCCACTCAGCCACTCGCTCACCCGCTCGCTCACCCACTCACTCACCCACTCACTCACCCACTCGCTCACTCACTCACTCACCCACTCACTCACTCACCCACTCACTCACTCACCCACACACTCACTCACTCAGTCACTCACCCACTCACACACTCACCCACCCACTCACTCACTCACCCACTCGCTCACCCACTCGCTCACCCACTCAGCCACTCACTCAGCCACTCACCCACTCAGCCACTCGCTCACCCGCTCGCTCACCCACTCACTCACCCACTCACTCACCCACTCGCTCACTCACTCACTCATTCACCCACTCACTCACTCACCCACTCACTCACTTACCCACACACTCACTCACTCAGTCACTCACCCACTCACTCACTCACCCACCCACTCACTCACTCACCCACTCGCTCAGCCACTCGCTCGCTCACCCACTCGCTCACCCACTCAGCCACTCACCCACTCGCTCACCCACTCGCTCGCTCACCCACTCGCTCACCCACTCAGCCACTCACCCACTCACTCACTCACCCACTCGCTCAGCCACTCGCTCACCCACTCGCTCACCCGCTCACCCACTCGCTCACTCACCCACTCGCACCCTCACTCGCTCACCCACTCGCTCACCCACTCAGCCACTCACCCACTCACTCACTCATCCACTCGCTCAGCCACTCGCTCACCCACTCACTCACTCGCTCACCCACTCGCTCACTCAACCGCGCAACTCAGTCACTCACCCACTCACCCACTCGCTCACCCGCTCAGCCACTCACTCACTCACCCACTCGCTTACTCACTCACTCACCCACTCACTCACTCACTCACCCACTCACTCACTCAGTCACTCAACCACTCACCCACTCGCTCACCCACTCGTCCACTCGCTCACCCACTCGCTCACCCACTCGCTCACCCGCTCAGCCACTCAACCACTCAACCAATCACCCACTCACTCACCCGCTCGCTCACCCAGCCACTCACCCACTCGCCCACTCACCCACTCGCCCACTCACCCACTCGCCCACTCACCCACTCACTCACCCGCTCACTCACCCACCAGCCACTCAGCCACTCACTCACTCACCCGTTCGCCCACTCGCTCACTCACCCACTCACCCACTCACTCACTCAGCCTCTCGCTCATCCACCCACTCACCCACTCACTCACTCAGTCACCCACTCACTCACCCACTCGCTCACCCACTCACTCACCCACCCACTCACCCACTCAGCCAATCGCTCACCCACTCACTCACCCGCCCACTCACTCACTCACTCACCCACCCGCTCAGCCACTCAGCAAATCGCTTAGCCACACACTCACCCACTTTCGTTCGCTCACTCACTCACTCTATCACTTACCCACTCTATCACTCATTCACTCACTCTATCACTCACTCACTCACCCACTCTATCACTCACTCACTCTATCACTTACTCACTCTATAACTCACTCACTATACACACAGACACCCACTTACTCACCCACTCTATGACTCACTCACTCACTCACCCACTCACCCACTCATTCACTCACCCACTCACTCACCCACTCACCCAATCACTCACTCACCCACTCACTCACTCACCCACTCACTCACCCACCCACTCACCCACTCACTCACCCGCTCAGCAACTCGCTCACCCACTCACTCACACCGTTACCGCACTGTGTGTATGAGTGAGGAGTGGTGGTGCAGTGGTTAGCGCACTGTGTGTGAGTGAATGGGGAGTGGTGGTGCAGTGGTTAGCGCACTATGTGTGAGTGCGTGGGGTGTGGTGGTGCAGTGGTTAGCGCACTGTGTGTTTGTGTATCAGCACTTGCCCTTAATGTCTGCTAGAGGCTATACTAGGAAGCTTTCTCCATATACACACAGATACACACAGAGATACACACACACAGATACACACATACAGATACACACTCACACAGCTACACAAAGATACACACACAGATACACACACAGAGATACACACACACAGATACACACACAGATACACACACAGAGATACACACACACAGATACACACACAGATACACACAGAGATATACACACACACATATATACACACACACATATATATACACGGATATTCACACACAGATACTCACACAGATACACACACAGATACATACACACACACATATACACAGATATTCACACACAGATACACACACACACAGATACACACGCAGACACATACACACACAGATATACACACAGATACACACACAGATATACACACAGAGATATACACACACAGATACACACACAGATATACATACACAGATATACATACACACATATACACACAGATATACACACAGAGATATACACACACAGATACACACACATACATACACACAGATACACACACAGACAAAGCTCCGCCAGGTAGCCTCTAGCAGGGCTGTAGGGGCAAGTGCTGTTACACAGACACACAGACAAAGCTCCCCCAGGTAGCCTCTAGCAGGGCTGTAGGGGCAAGTGCTGTTATACAGACACAGACAAAGCTTCCCCAGGTAGCCTCTAGCAGAGCTGTAGGGGCAAGTGCTGTTACACAGACACAGACAAAGCTATCCCAGGTAGCCTCTAGCAGGGCTGTAGGGGCAAGTGCTGTTACACAGACACAGACAAAGCTACCACCAGATAGCCTCTAGCAGGGATGTAGGGGCAAGTGCTGTCACACACAGACACAGACAAAGCTACCCCAGGTAGCCTCTAGCAGGGCTGTAGGGGCAAGTGCTGTCACACACACACAGACAAAGCTACCCCCAGGTAGCCTCTAGCAGGGCTGTAGGGGCAAGTGCTGTCACACAGACACAGACAAAGCTCCCCCAGGTAGCCTCTAGCAGGGCTGTAGGGGCAAGTGCTGTCACACACAGACACAGACAAAGCTACCCCAGGTAGCCTCTAGCAGGGCTGTAGGGGCAAGTGCTGTCACACACACAGACAAAGCTCCCCCAGGTAGCCTCTAGCAGGGCTGTAGGGGCAAGTGCTGTCACACACAGACACAGACAAAGCTACCCCAGGTAGCCTCTAGCAGGGCTGTAGGGGCAAGTGCTGTTACACACACACACACACACAGACAAAGCTCCCCCAGGTAGCCTCTAGCAGGGCTGTAGGGGCAAGTGCTGTCACACACAGACACAGACAAAGCTACCCCAGGTAGCCTCTAGCAGGGCTGTAGGGGCAAGTGCAGTTACACACAGACAAAGCTACCCCAGGTAGCCTCTAGCAGGGCTGTAGGGGCAAGTGCTGTCACACACAGACACAGACAAAGCTACCCCAGGTAGCCTCTAGCAGGGCTGTAGGGGCAAGTGCAGTTACACACACAGACAAAGCTACCCCAGGTAGCCTCTAGCAGGGCTGTAGGGGCAAGTGCTGTTACACAGACACAGACAAAGCTACCCCAGGTAGCCTCTAGCAGGGCTGTAGGGGCAAGTGCTGTCACACACAGACACAGACAAAGCTACCCCAGGTAGCCTCTAGCAGGGCTGTAGGGGCAAGTGCTGTCACACACAGACACAGACAAAGCTACCCCAGGTAGCCTCTAGCAGGGCTGTAGGGGCAAGTGCAGTCACACACACAGACAAAGCTACCCCAGGTAGCCTCTAGCAGGGCTGTAGGGGCAAGTGCTGTTACACAGACACAGACAAAGCTACCCCAGGTAGCCTCTAGCAGGGCTGTAGGGGCAAGTGCTGTCACACACAGACACAGACAAAGCTACCCCAGGTAGCCTCTAGCAGGGCTGTAGGGGCAAGTGCTGTTACACAGACACAGACAAAGCTACCCCAGGTAGCTTCTAGCAGGGCTGTAGGGGCAAGTGCTGTCACACAGACACAGACAAAGCTCCCCCAGGTAGCCTCTAGCAGGGCTGTAGGGGCAAGTGCTGTTACACAGACACTGTGCTCACAACTGCACCACCACAGTTAGTCACCTGAGCTTGTACACAAGCAACCATTCCACGTTCCTATGCCAAGATAACAAACCATCCCCCCCCCAACTCTCTCCCCCCACTCCCCACTCTCCCCCCACTCACCCCCCACTCTCCCCCCACTCTCCCCCCACTCTCCCCCACTCCCCCCACTTCCCCCATCCTCTCCCCACTCCCCCCACTCCCTCCACTCCCCCCACTACCCCCTCGCCCCACTCTCCCCCCACTCCCCCCACTTCCCCCACTCCCTCCACGCCCCCCACTACCCACTCCCCCCACTCTCCCCCCACTCCCCCCCACTCCCCCCACCATCCCCTCTCCCCCCACTCCCCCCACTCCCTCCACTCCCCCCACTACCACCTCCCCCCACTCTCCCCCCACTCCCCCCCACTCCCCCCACCATCCCCTCTCCCCCCACTCCCCCCACTCCCCCCACTCCCCCCACCACCCCCTCTCCCCCCACTCTCCCCATCCTCCCCCCACTCCCCCCACTCCCCCCTCTCCCCCCTCTCCCCCCACTACCCCCTCTCCCCCCACCATCCCCACTCCCCCCACTACCCCCCACTACCCCCCACTCCCCCCACTCCCCCCCACTACCCCCCACTCCCCCCACCAGCTATGCACTGTTCGTGTGCCACGGACATTCTGGGAGCTGCGTGGAGCAACCCGGCGATATGGACCCCAGGTGACGTCACCACGCCCCTCCCCCCCTCCTAACTCCTCCCCCTGCACCCCCTAACTCCTCCCCCCTCCACCCCCTAACTCCTCCCCTCTCCCCTCCCCCTTAACTCCTCCTCCCTCCCACCCTAGCTCCTCCCCCTAACTCCGCGCCCCCTCCTAACTCCTCCCCCCTCCACCCCCTAACTCCTCCCCCCTCCTAACTCCTCCCCCCTTCTAACTCCTCCCCCCTCCACCCCCTAACTCCTCCCCCCTTTCTCCCCTCTTTACTCCTCCTCCCTCCCACCCTAGCTCTTCCCCCTAACTCCGCCCCCCCTCCTAACTCCTCCCCCCTCCACCCCCTAACTCCTCCCCACTCCACCCCCTAACTCCGCCCCCTCCTCCATTAACTCCTCCTCCCTCCCACCCTAACTCCTCCCCCTAACTCCGCCCCCTCCTCCGTTAACTCCTCCCCTCCCCTAACTCCTCTCTCCTAACTCCTCTCTCCTAACTCCTCCCCCCTCCCCCATAACTCCTCCCCCTCTCCCCTATCTCCTTACCCCTCCCCCCTTAACCACCCCCCCCAACACCTCTCCCATAACTCCTGCCCCATAACTCCTCCCCCCTCCGTCTCTATCTCTCTATCTCTCAATGTATCTCTCAATGTATCTATGTATCTCTCTATCTCTCAATGTATCTCTCTATCTCTCAATGTATCTCTCTATCTCTCAATGTATCTCTCTATCTCTCAATATATCTCTCAATGTATCTCTCAATGTATCTCTCAATGTATCTCTCTATCTCTCAATGTATCTCTCAATGTATCTATGTATCTCTCTATCTCTCAATGTATCTCTCTATCTCTCAATGTATCTCTCTATCTCTCAATGTATCTCTCTATCTCTCAATGTATCTCTCTATCTCTCAATGTATCTCTCAATGTATCTCTCAATGTATCTCTCTATCTCTCAATGTATCTCTCTATCTCTCAATGTATCTCTCTCTATCTCTCTATGTATCTCTCTATCTCTCTATGTATCTCTCTATCTCTCAATGTATCTCTCTATCTCTCAATGTATCTCTATATCTCTCTCTGTATCTCTCTATCTCTCAATGTATCTCTCTATCTCTCAATGTATCTCTCTATGTATCGCTCTATCTCTCAATGTGTCTCTCTATCTCTCAATGTATCTCTCTATCTATCTCTCTATCTCTCTATCTCTCAATGTATCTCTCTATCTCTCAATGTATCTCTCTATGTATCTCTCTATGTATCTCAATGTATCTCTCTATGTATCTCTCTATCTCTGTATATCTCTATCTCTCAATGTATCTCTCTATGTATCTCTCTATCTCTCAATGTATCTCTCTATGTATCTCTCTATCTCTGTATCTCTCTATGTATCTCTCTATCTCTCAATGTATCTCTCTATCTCTCAATGTATCTCTCTATGTATCTCTCTATATCTCAATGTATCTCTCTATCTCTCAATGTATCTCTATATCTCTCAATATATCTTTCTATGTATCTCTCTATCTCTCAATGTATCTATGTATCTCTCTATCTCTCAATGTATCTCTCTATCTCTCAATGTATCTCTTGATGTATCTCTCTATCTCTGTATCTCTCTATGTATCTCTCTATCTCTCAATGTATCTCTCTATGTATCTCTCTATCTCTCAATGTATCTCTCTATGTATCTATCTTTCAATGTATCTCTCTATGTATCTCTCTATCTCTCAATGTATCTCTCTATGTATCTCTCTATCTCTCAATGTATCTCTCTATCTCCCAATGTATCTCTCTATGTACATATCTCTCAATTTATCTCTTGATGTATCTCTTTCCCTCTATCTCTCTCTCCATTTCTCCATCTCTCACTTCCCCACCACCGTTAAAGTCACAGTCCCGGACGAGCCCCCGCTGACCCGCGGCAAGATCTCCGGCGGCTTGGGAAAGTCTCCTCCACCCCCCCACCCCCCACACCCCCCCCCCCCCAACATAACTTCCCCACCACCATTAAAGTCACAGTCCCGGACGAGCCCCCGCTGACCCGCGGCGAAATCTCCAGCGGCTTGGGAAAGTCTCCTCCAATCCCCTCCCCCACCCCACCGTAATTTCCCCATCACCGTTAAAGTCGCCGTCCCGGACGAGCCCCCGGTGACCCGCGGCGAAATCTCCGGCGGCCTGGGAAAGTCTCCTCCAATCCCCTCCCCCACTCCACCGTAATTTCCCCATCACCGTTAAAGTCGCCGTCCCGGACGAGCCCCCGGTGACCCGCTGGCGAAATCTCCAGCGGCTTGGGAAAGTCTCCTCCAATCCCCTCCCCCACCCCACCGTAATTTCCCCATCACCGTTAAAGTCGCCGTCCCGGACGAGCCCCCGGTGACCCGCGGCGAAATCTCCGGCGGCCTGGGAAAGTCTCATCTTCCACTCCCCACGGGGCAGGAGGGGAGAGAGAAATACCTCAGGCCAAAGTCTGGTTTGTTAGCATTCTCTCTCTCTCTGTCTCCATCTCTCTCCCCGTGTGTCTCTCTCCCCGTGTCTCTCTCTCCCCGTGTCTCTCTCTCCCCGTGTCTCTCTCTCCCCATGTCCCTCTCTCTCCCCGTGTCTCTCTCTCTCTCCCCGTATCTCTCTCTCTCCCCGTTTCTCTCTCTCCCCGTGTCTCTCTCTCTTTCCCCGTGACTCTCTCCATCTGTCTCCCCGTGTCTCTCTCTCAATGTGTCTCTCTCTCAATGTTTCTCTCCCCGTGTCTCCATCCCAGGCCTGGCATTCCCCGAGTGGGCCTACAAGCCTGACTCGAGCCCAGGCTCCCGACAGATCCAGCTGTGGCACTTCATCCTGGAGCTGCTCCAGAAGGATGAGTTCCGCGGGGTGATCGCCTGGGAGGGAGACTACGGGGAGTTTGTGATCCGGGACCCGGACGAGGTGGCTCGGCTCTGGGGGTCCAGGAAGTGCAAACCCAACATGAATTACGACAAGCTGAGCCGGGCACTGCGGTGAGACAGAGACACGCGGAGAGACACGGGTAGAGAGAGAGACACATGGTGAGAGAGATAGAGAGAGACACGGGGAGAGAGGGACACGGGGAGAGACAGAGGAGGGGACAGAGACACGGGGAGAGAGAGACACAGGGGAGAGAGAGATACGGGGAGGGAGAGACACGGGGAGAGAGACACGGGGAGAGAGAGACACGGGGAGAGAGAGACACGGGGAGAGAGAGACACGGGGAGAGAGAGACATGCGGAGAGACATGGGGAGAGAGAGAGAGAGACACGGGGAGAGAGAGACACGGGGAGAGAGAGACACGCGGAGAGAGAGACACGGGTGGGAGAGAGACACGGAGAGAGAGAGAGAGAGACACGTGGGGAGAGAGAGACACGGGGAGAGAGAGGCATGGGGAGAGAGAGACACGGGGAGATAGAGACACGGGGAGAGAGAGACACGGATTGGAGAGAGACACGGGTGGGAGAGAGACACGGGGAGAGAGAGAGACACGGGGAGAGAGAGGCACGGGGGAGAGAGAGCCACGAGGAGAGAGACACGGGGAGAGAGAGAGACATGGAGAGAGAGACACGGGGAGAGAGACAGGGAGAGAGAGAGATACGGGTGGGAGAGAGACACGGGTGGGAGAGAGACACGGGGAGAGAGAGAGACACGGGGAGAGAGAGACACGGGGAGAGAGAGACACTGGGAGAGAGACACGGGGAGAGAGAGAGACATGGAGAGAGAGACACGGGGAGAGAGACATGGAGAGAGACACGGAGAGAGAGACACGGGGTGAAAGAGACACGGGGCGAAAGAGAGAGACACGGGGAGAGAGACAGAGAGAGAGAGAGAGACATTGGGAAAGAGATGATGATGATGATACTACTACTACTGTTGTGTGTGTAACTATTACCACTAATGATGATACTACTAGTACTGTGTAACTATTACTACTACTGATGATGATACTACTACTGTGTAACTATTACCACTACTGATGATGATACTAGTACTGTGTAACTATTACCACTACTGATGATGATACTACTACTAATGTGTAACTATTACCACTACTGATGATGATACTACTACTGTGTAACTATTACTACTACTAATGATGATACTAGTACTACTGTGTAACTATTACCACTACTGATGATGATTCTACTACTGTGTAACTATTATCACTACTGATGATGATACTACTACTACTGTGTAACTATTACCACTACTGATGATGATACTACCACTACTACTGTGTAACTATTACCACTACTGATGATGATACTACTACTGTGTAACTATTACCACTACTGATGATGATACTACCACTACTACTGTGTAACTATTACCACTACTAATGATGATACTACTACTGTTGTGTGTGTAACTATTACTACTACTGATGATGATGATGATACTACTACTGTGTAACTATTACCACTACTGATGATGATACTAGTACTACTGTGTAACTATTACCACTACTGATGATGATTCTACTACTGTGTAACTATTATCACTACTAATGATGATACTAGTACTACTGTGTAACTATTACCACTACTAATGATGATACTACTACTACTGTGTAACTATTACCACTACTGATGATGATACTACTACTGTGTAACTATTACCACTACTGATGATGATACTACTACTAGTGTGTAACTATTACCACTACTGATGATGATACTACTACTGTGTGTGTAACTATTACCACTACTGATGATGATACTACTACTAATGTGTAACTATTACCACTACTGATGATGATACTAGTACTACTGTGTAACTATTACCACTACTGATGATGATACCACTACTAGTGTGTAACTATTACCATTACTGATGATGATACTAGTACTACTGTGTAACTATTACCACTACTGATGATGATACTACTACTATTGTGTAACTATTAGCACTACTGATGATGATACTACTACTATTGTGTAACTATTACCACTACTGATGATGATGATACTACTACTGTGTAACTATTACCACTACTGATGATGATACTACTACTGTGTAACTATTACCACTACTAATGATGATACTACTACTAGTGTGTAACTATTACCACTACTGATGATGATACTACTACTAGTGTGTAACTATTACCACTACTGATGATGATGATACTACTACTAGTGTAACTATTACCACTACTGATGATGATACTACTACTAGTGTGTAACTATTACCATTACTGATGATGATGATACTACTACTGTGTAACTATTACCACTACTGATGATGATACTACTACTACTACTGTGTAACTATTACCACTACTGATGATGATGATGCTACTACTGTGTAACTATTACCACTACTGATGATGATACTACTACTAGTGTGTAACTATTACCACTACTGATGATGATACTACTACTAGTGTGTAACTATTACTACTACTGGTGATGATACTACTACTAGTGTGTAACTATTACCACTACTGGTGATGATACTACTAGTACTGTGTAACTATTACCACTATTAATGATGATACTACTACTAGTGTGTAACTATTACCACTACTGATGATGATACTACTACTAGTGTGTAACTATTACTACTACTGATGATGATACTACTACTACTGTGTAACTATTACTACTACTGATGATGATACTACTACTACTGTGTAACTATTACTACTACTGATGATGATACTACTACTGTGTGTGTAACTATTACCATTACTGATGATGATACTACTACTAGTGTGTAACTATTACTACTACTGATGATGATACTACTACTAGTGTGTAACTATTACTACTACTGATGATGATACTACTACTAGTGTGTAACTATTACTACTACTGATGATGATACTACTAGTACTGTGTAACTATTACTACTACTGATGATGATACTACTACTACTGTGTAACTATTACTACTACTGATGATGATGATACTACTACTGTGTAACTATTACCACTACTGATGATGATACTACTACTGTGTAACTATTACCACTATTAATGATGATACTACTACTGTGAGTGTAACTATTACTACTACTGATGATGATGATACTACTACTGTGTGTGTAACTATTACTACTACTGATGATGATACTACTACTAGTGTGTAACTATTACTACTACTGATGATGATACTACTACTGTGTGTGTAACTATTACCACTACTGATGATGATACTACTACTACTGTGTAACTATTACCACTACTGATGATGATGATACTACTACTAGTGTGTAACTATTACTACTACTGATGATGATACTAGTACTACTGTGTAACTATTACCACTACTGATGATGATTCTACTACTACTATTGTGTAACTATTACCACTAATGATGATACTACAACTACTACTGTGTAACTATTACCACTACTGTTGATGATACTACTACTAGTGTGTAACTATTACCACTACTGATGATGATACTACTACTAGTGTGTAACTATTACCGCTACTAATGATGATGATACTACTAATGTGTAACTATTACTACTACTAATGATGATACTACTACTAGTGTGTAACTATTACCACTACTGATGATGATGATACTACTACTGTGTAACTATTACCACTACTGATGATGATGATACTACTACTAGTGTGTAACTATTACTACTACTGATGATGATACTACTACTACTACTGTGTAACTATTACTACTACTGATGATGATACTACTACTGTGTAACTATTACTACTACTGATGATGATACTACTACTGTGTAACTATTACCACTACTGATGATGATACTACTACTACTGTGTAACTATTACCACTACTGATGATGATTCTACTACTAGTGTGTAACTATTACCACTACTGTTGATGATACTACTAGTACTGTGTAACTATTACCACTACTGATGATGATACTACTACTAGTGTGTAACTATTACCACTACTGATGATGATGATACTACTAGTGTGTAACTATTACCACTACTGATGATGATACTACTACTATTGTGTAACTATTAACACTACTGATGATGATACTACTAGTACTTCTGTGTAACTATTAGCACTACTGATGATGATACTACTACTGTGTAACTATTACCACTACTGATGATGATACTACTACTAGTGTGTAACTATTACCACTACTAATGATGATACTACTACTAGTGTGTAACTATTACCACTACTGATGATGATACTACTACTACTACTGTGTAACTATTACCACTACAGATGATGATACTACAACTACTACTGTGTAACTATTACCACTACTGATGATGATACTACTACTAGTGTGTAACTATTACCACTACTAATGATGATACTACTGTGTAACTATTATCACTATTGATGATGATACTACTACTAGTGTGTAACTATTAACACTACTGATGATGATACTAGTACTACTGTGTAAATATTATCACTACTGATGGTGATGATACGACTGTGTAACTATTACCACTACTGATGATGATACTACTACTAATGTGTAACTATTACCACTACTGATGATGATACTACTACTGTGTAACTATTACCACTACTGATGATGATACTACTACTGATGATGATACTACTACTGATGATGATGATACTACTACTCATGATGATACTACTGATGATGATACTACTACTACTGATGATGATACTACTACTACTGGTGATGATGATACTACTACTGATGATGATACTACTACTGGTGATGATACTACTACTGATGATCATACTACTACTGATGATGATGATGATACTGCTACTGATGATGATACTACTACTGATGATGATACTACTACTGATGATGATGATGATAATACTACTACTGATGATACTACTACTGATGATGATGATACTACTACTGCTGTGTGTAGCTACTACTACTGATGATACTACTACTACTGATGATGATACTACTACTACTGATGATACTACTACTGATGATGATACTACTCATGATGATGATACTACTAATGATGAGGATGATACTACTGATGATGATGATACTACTACTGATGATGATACTACTACTGATGATGATACTACTACTACTGATGATACTACTACTACTACTGATGATGATACTACTGATAATGATACTACTACTGATGATGATACTACTACTGATAATGATACTACTACTACTACTGATGATGATGATACTACTACTGATGATACTACTACTGATGATGATACTACTGATGATGATGATACTACTACTGATAATGATACTACTGATGATGATGATGATGATACTACTACTGATAATGATACTACTGATGATGATGATGATACTACTACTGATGATGATACTACTACTGATGATGATGATAGTTTTACTGCTGTGTGTGTAGCTACTACTACTGATGATGATGATGATACTACTACTGATGATGATGATACTACTACTGATGATGATGATACTACTACTGATGATGATGATAATGATACTACTGATGATGATACTACTAATGATGATGGTACTACTACTGATGATGATGATACTACTGATGATGATGATGATACTACTACTGATGATAATGATACTACTGATGATGATACTACTGATGATACTACTACTGATGATACTATTACTGATGATGTTGATGCTGATACTATTACCGCTGTGTGTGTAGCTACTACTACAACAAGAGGATACTGCACAAGACCAAAGGGAAACGCTTCACCTACAAGTTTAACTTCAGCAAGCTGGTGCTGGTCAACTACCCCATGATGGAGCTATCAACGTCGCCTCTGTATGGAGCATACACTCACCTGGCTGGGAGTGCAACAGAGGTGAGCTGACACAGGGGTAAAGGTATAACCCACCCAGGTAGCCTCGAGCATCTAGCAGGGATATAGGGGCAAGTAGTGTTACACGGAGGGAGAGAGAGAGACACACAGAGAGACACACAGAGACACACACAGAGACACACAGAGACAGAGACACACACAGAGACACACAGAGACACACAGAGACACACACACACAGAGACACACACACAGACACACAGACAGAGACACATACACACAGAGACACACAGACTCACACACAGAGACACACACACAGAGACACACACACAGAGACACACAAAGACACACAGACTCAGAGACACACATACAGAGACACACACACAGAGACACACCGAGACACACAGAGAGACACACAAAGACACACAGCCTCAGAGACACACATACAGAGACACACACACAGAGACACACACACACACAGACACACACAGAGACACACACACAGAGACACACACACACAGAGACACACAGACTCACATACAGAGACACACAGAGACACAGACTCATACACAGAGACAACAACAACCGCCATTCACCACTAAGTGGTTGTGACATCACCACGATGCTTGTGCCAGGCTATGTGCACCCTGAGGCCACGTGAAGTGTCGAACGCCCGCTGGCAGGAGGTCACGGGGCAGACCCAGGTGCCACGGGTCGACTGACTAAGATGACTGGCTGATGCACCACCTGTGTCCCCTACTGTGCCAACCTGCTGTGCTTTAGCCACCCGGCGCTCCGCTCGTTGTTGTGAGCGCCGCTCCTCCGCCCTCCGTTGTTGTTGGAGGGCGACTGCCTCCAACTGCCCAATAGCATCCTTCACGAGCCTCCTCCACAGAGGCCGATCTTGACACCACTGGTACCAGTCATCGGCAAGTCCACTCAGCTCCTGTACCACATCACTCCATCTCTTCTCTAGACCTGAAGGCAGGCCAGCCTAAATGTTTCTAACCGGCGAAGATGTTCCATTAGGGGGGTCCACGTTTCGCAAGCGTAGAGAAGGGAGGGAATGATCGTGGCCGAGAAGACCTGAAGCTTAGTGCGGAGCGACAGACCAGGTAGCTTCCACACAGCGTTACGCAACCGATGAAAAGATATTGCCGCTCGACTGATTCGGAGTGAGACCTCTGCTGTTAAACCGAAGCCGGTCATGAGCACACTGCCCAGGTATGGGAAAGTCTCCACTCTCTCCACAACTGCCCTATCACCAATTGGGAGTGGGGGTGGAGTGTCCGATGGTACAAACTACCCAGGCAGGTGCTTAGTTTTGATGGGGCTGATGGTAAGGCCCCACATCTTAGGTGGCAAGCTCCAGGTTCAGCAGCAGTGTCTCCAACTCCTCCTCTGAGTGAGCAGCAATTACCAGTTCATTGGCATACATAACGTGGTTGAGCAATAGGGAGCCATCCCTTGACCGTACCCGGGCATCGATCAGCCTCCCATTGTAGCTGTACCAGATGGAAATTCCTACGGAACAGCTATTGAAGGCGTCACGAACTATGTGGTCGAAACAGATGTTAAATAATGTGGGAGCCAGAGGACATCCCTGTCGGACCCCAAGGTGTACAGGGAATGGCTCTGACTCCAGGCCATGTAGTTTTACCCATGAAGGTCTTTAATGATCGTAAGCAGCGGGTCAGGGACTCCAATAGTGCAAAGAACGACCCAGAGCCCAGGCCTACTGATGGTATCATAGGCCCTGACCAGGTAAATAAAGCAGAGATGTAGATCTTACTGGAATTCTCTACACCTCTGCTGTAGCAGACGGACAGAAAATATGGCATCTGTGCAGGACCGCCCTTTCCTGAAACCGCATTGGGGCTCCGCAAGCCTCTGCTCAGCGTGCCTGGCAAGGCGATGTTGAATAATCTTTTCCAGGACCTTTCCCGGCACACTGAGGAGTGAGATGCACCCTTCAATTCTGCGGAACCCGTCCAGTGGTCCAGACTGTTGTTATGATGTCATATAGGGCAGTTTGTGCACAAACGCCACCCTCCCTCAGCATTTCGCTTGAGAGATCATCGCCCTCAGTACTTCCTCAACAGATGGCACCTCAGACAATATTTGAGGCAGCGCAGCCTCAGCAGGGTCATCCCCACTTTGTGCCACGATGTTTTCCAGGCTGAGGGATTTCCCCTCCCCCAGGACCTCACAGAAATGATCAGCAAATCTGCAAACCTGTTCCTGGGGGTCAGAGATTGGATCACCGTTCTTTCCCCTAATGATGGTAATAGGTGTGGCGCTGCAGGTTACTTTTTTATGGAATTATAAAGCGATTTGTGATCGTGGCCCATTGAAGCAGACTCCATCTCCTCAGCAACCCACGACCACCACCCATCCTTGCAGCACCTCAAGGTTCTCCAAACCTCCGAGCGAAGGCTGCGGTAAGCCTCCTCATTCTCTGACGTGGGATTCTGTAGCCGATGAGAGTGGGCCTGCCGCTTTTTCTCAGCCAGCCTGAACACCTCCTCAGTCAGCCAGGGTCTCCGGGGAGGTCTGGACCGCGTACCCAAAGCAGCCATTGCAGCTGCATGAGTCACAGTCCTAAACCTCGCCCATTTACCCTCAACATCAGTAGGAGTGGGGGATGATACGAACCCAGCCGCAAGCAATGATGAAATTCTCGCTTGCAACTTTCATCGGATAACTGAGACCAGGCCACTTTAGGTTGGAATGGGGTCCTGGGTGTACACCCACCACCGGAGTGGGATAATGGCAGGCGCATGTTACAGATGACTAGTCGATGGTCAGTGGACAGATCAGCTCCACGGTAGGTCCTGGTGTCAAGGAAATGGGATCGCATCCGCTGGTCCGTCACTATGTAGTCCAGCAGATGCTCTTGCTTGGACCCGGCATGCATCCATGATGTTGTGTGGATGCGCCGATGCCGGAACAGCGTGTTGTTAATTACAAGCCCATGGGCTGCACAAAAATCTAGCAGCCTCCTACCGTTGTTATTGAGCTGATCTGGCCCATGCCCTCCAATCACTCCAGACCAGGTGCCAGCATCATGACCAACTCGGGCAGTGAAGTCACCCAACATGATGACTCTATCCCGAGGGGCCACTTTAGCCAGCACCTGTAACAGGAGGTCATAGAAGGCATCTGACTCATCGGCCTTGCCTGCATCCATACACGGATGTTCATCTTCAGTGGGGGCATAAGTAACCACGACCACCACTCCTCGCCTCCGGTTGACGGGAAGGCGAGCCCAAAGTAGCCTGGGGCTTACAGCTTCCCACACCTCACCGCCACGCTCCCACGCCCCCTTCATTCTTTTGTTCAAAAGAAGAGCTACACCCTGTTGTTTGGCAGTCTGCTGCCCCGAGTAGAGGACTGTCCACCCCTCATGGTGGCAGGAGCCAGAGCCGGTCCACCAGACCTCCTGAATGCCACATAGATCCAGGCGGTACCGGTCCAGCTCCGGACAGAGGAGTGGCAGCCTCTCCTCCGCAGTGAGCGTTCGAACATTCCACGTGGCCACACGAAGTGGCTTTTCGTTGTTTCTGTAGGAGCCCCGCGGGTAGAGATTCAATCTCCTGGCTCCGCCAATTGGGGTTTGGCCAGGAGACGTCATAGACGCCTGTCCCCCCGGGGCCTCCGGCACAAGCTTATTAGTTAGATATTTCAGTTTAACTCGTGGTTTCGTGGTAATTAATTGAAGGTGGAGGGGTCACTAGCCCCTCGCACCTGTCCAGAGCCCCCGTTTAGCCCCTGTGGTGGACACATATGCCATGAAGGGAGCCAATCAAAATTGGATCTCCCCCCACAGCACTGTCCACGACAGAGTTGCCCGTCCGGCACCGCGAGGAGGTAGGGGGTTGTTTTGCACACACAGACACACAGACACACACACAGACACACACAGACACAGACACACACACACAGACACACAGACACACACACATGCAGACACACACACACACATACACACACACATACACACACAGACACACACACAGACACACAGACACACACACAGACACACACACACAGACACAAACACACACAGACACACACAGACACACAGACACACACACACAGACACACACACACACAGACACACACACAAACACACATACACACACACAGACACACACACACATACACACACACAGATACACACACACAGACACACAGACACACACACACACATACACAGACACACAAACAGACACACACACATACACAGACACACAGACACTCACACACACATACACAGACACACAGACACACAGACACACACACACAGTGACACACACACACAGACACACACACACACAGACACACACAACATACACACACAGACACTCACACATACACAGACACACAGACACACACACACAGTGACACACACACACACACAGACACACACACACACAGACACACACGGACACACTCACACACACACACACATACACACACAGACACACAGACACACACAGACACAGACACACACACAGACACACAGACACACACACACATGCAGACACACACACACATACACACACACATACACACACAGACACACACACAGACACACAGACACACACACAGACACACACACACAGACACAAACACACACAGACACACACAGACACAGACACACACACACAGACACACACACACACAGACACACACACACAAACACACATACACACACACAGACACACACACACACACACATACACACACACACAGATACACACACACAGACACACAGACACACATACACAGACACACAAACAGACACACACACACACATACACAGACACACAGACACTCACACACACATACACAGACACACAGACACACAGACACACACACACACAGTGACACACACACACACACAGACACACACACACACAGACACACACACACATACACACACAGACACTCACACATACACAGACACACAGACACACACACACAGACACACACACACACACACACACAGACACACACACAGACACACACAGACACACTCA